TTTAATTCGCAAAAAAAAAAAATTTTTGACGCTCACTTCAAGTGGTTTTTGGCTTGTGCAATAAAGGGTTAATGCGAATAATGAGAGATGGAAGTGCATTTGCTGAATAAATTCCTCCATGCGCATCAAAAAAGTCATGTAACTTTGTGCTATGGGACAAACTAGTGGACTGATTTTGCTGCACAGCCATATGAAATGTTGTTATGGTCATTCTTTAAATTCCCACGCAAAGTCTGTCGTCAAAATACTTTGGTATAATTGCCTCCCAGAACTGTCCTAAAGGACTGCGTTCCCAAAAAGCAGGCATCCACCTCTGAAAGCAATCACCGCATTTTATTGTTTCATCTGCTCAGTCTAATTTATTATATATGAAAATGATTATATTCAGTGTTATTATATTCTACTTTTCTTACTGATATTTAGTGCCAGTTTATCAGGAAGTGACGATTTTGTTCTCTTGGATGGAAACGATGCTTTATTTGCAAATGTTTTATGTAATATTTCAATTTTGCGCACAAGTTAAATTCACAACTTTGGATGGAAACCCAGCTATAGTCTTTTACCTACAGCCAGTCCAGGATCACTGTTCATGGTCTGAACAATCTCTCTTCCCTGTTGAAAAAGATGAGCATTCCTTGGTAAAGTTTATACTGTGAGAACTTTGGGTGCAAAATCTCCATGAGGCAGAAAGAAGCGGACAGACCTGATTGAGCACCACCCAGTTTGGATCGATCTGCGCATCTCCTTCTGGATCCAGAACCACAGTCTGATAGGTTCTGAAGTCAGTGAGAGTCACCTCAGTGTTCTCAGGACAAACATCAATGATGTCACTAAATGTGTCATTGTCAAAGTCATTCTCACAAACGTTGCCAATCCCATCACCTGTAAACCAAAAGTCAAGAAAATGAAGCGGATGACTGATTTGACAAGTCAACAAGATCAGAAAATGACTAAAGAGCCGTTTTCAAGCTGAAAAGAACAAATTAGATGATCCGAATGAATTTCCCTGCTGGTTAGGAGTCGGTTAAACTAGTTAAAAAGCCTGGTGGGGACACCAGAATTCCATATTCCAAATCACTACATAAGCTGGTCTTTTGAACAGGACATTATTTTATTAAGAATAATGAGATTAAAGGGTTAGTTCACCCAAAAATGCAAATTCTGTCATTAAAGAATACTTTTTTTGCGCAAAGAAAACAAAAATAACGATTTTATTCCACATTTTCGTCTCTACGCCGTATCTGGGTCAGCGCCGGCGCCGCCACACGCTCGCGTCATGGTACTGTCGTGAACGCGCGTCCACAAGTGACGCAGTAGAGACGAAAATGTGGAATAAAGTCATTCTCGTACCTTCGTAACTTTAAAGTTGAACCACTGATGTCACACGGACTACTTTGTCGATCATCTTGGTACTTTTCTGGACCTTGAACGTGGTAGTTACCTTGCTGTCTATGGGAGGGTCAGAGAGCCCTCAGATTTCATCAAAAATATCTTAAATTGTGTTCCAAAGATGAACGAAGGTCTTACGGGTTTGGAACAACACGAAGGTGAGTAATTAATGACAGAATTTTAATTTTTGGGTGAATTAACCCTTTAAGATCAACAGTTTGATGTAAAGTGAAGTTTCCAAACATTAAAGCCTGACCATCTAAGTCCTCCTGCAGTGGGTTTGGAACCAGACGGCAGTTGTCCGGACCGGGTGGAAGGAGATCGGGAATGCCATCGTTGTCATCATCATCATCACATTCATCTCCAATGCCATCCTTGTCCGTGTCCAGCTGGGAGCTGTTGATAACTGCAGGACAGTTGTCTCGAGAGTCCTGATGCCCATCTCCATCACTGATGATAGAAACCAAAGCATCAGATTGAACGTACTCATTATGGGTGTGAGCAATGAAAATCACCAATTGGAGTGGAGTGATGTAATACCTATCTTTGTTGGTGTCACAAGGATCGCCAATCAAGTCATTATCCACATCCATCTGTGGCAGAAAGAAGGAGAATTATGGGTTACGTAATGCCTCAATTTCTTAGTTTGATTCCACCTTCAGAGTTAGAGACCGTAGGGTGTTAATCAGACCTGATCAGGGTTGCGGACGTAGGGACAGCTGTCGCAAGCATCACCAACATTATCACCGTCTCTATCTTTCTGGTCACGGTTTGGCACCTTTTTGCAATTATCTTTATCGTTTTTGATTCCTGAAAAGCAAAACACAACATCTCAGTTTGACCAATGCAAATGTTCATATTACCCTAATGATGTTTCCTATCTGAAGACTTACCATCCCCATCAATGTCATCATCACATTCATCACCCTGACCATCGCTATCGGTGTCCTTCTGGTCGTTGTTTTTTACCTGACGGCAATTATCACAAGCATCTCCATAATCATCCTGATCAATGTTCTTCTGATTGACGTTGGGGACTAGCACACAGTTGTCCTATCAGAGAAGTAATCGGTAAGAATATCATGAGTAAGAATACCGGTAGACATGATTAACCGGTAGAAATTTGTCAACCGGTAGAGATTTTGGACTATCGTCTCTATCGCGGTTACGCGCTCTCGTGACATTTGCTGTGCTATATGGTCACGAAAACGTATCGTTTGCACGCGTTTTAAGCATTGCGGTTTAAAAACAAGTGATTTTAAGCTGTTGGAATGCAATCAGCAGTAAAAAAGAACTAATTTTGCTATATGCGTGCTCTGTCTGAGAGCGATATCAGAGAGGTGACCGCACGTGAAGATGGTGCTCATAGAGCGCAACAGAGTATTGAACGGAGTTAATTTTGCCACTTTATAAGCCTTGAATGGTCAAAATGCCCGTCTTTGCAAGCATCCTTGTAAACACAATAATTTAGGTCTTAAGTGAAAGCAAACAGCTGAGAAAAAAAACATGTGTAACAGTATATTGGATCCGGGCAGCTCTTAAAGTGACAGCAGTCTAATATTCCTGCTGTCTATAATTCATGTTAATCAAACAGCAAAAGACAGAAAATCTCTCACTGCTCTTGACTAAATCACTTTTGTAACTTTAATAAGAAGAAATATATATTTAATTTACACAGTGAAGAATATGCAGTGTTTTTCTTCATTCAATTACTTTACACAATGTATGAATCATTTCTTAGTTATTTGTTCTACTGTAGTTTTTTGTCCTATTGCTTGTAATTAGTTTCTTACTCTTATGTAATCGCTGACTGTTTACTTGTCTTCAGTGAGTTTTTTTTTTAAATTTAGGCTAGTATTAGTTTTTTGTGATATTGACACTGATGACAAGACTTATGAAATTTCTATGGTATCAAAAATGTTGATATCTTAAAGACCTTATTTGAAGCAAAAATAACTATATTGTGATATATATCGTACAGTGAAATAAAATTACTCATATCCTGATATAAGATTTTGGTTATATCGCCCACCCCTAGTTCTTAATATCTTAGTGAGCTGCCTCCCTAGACAGCATTGATCATAATCCCAACATAAAGTCTGTTCCAAAAGGTAGGAAGCAACCTTCTAAGATTTCCTTCTAAGACCTTTTTTCCCCCCACGCATATCGTATATAGAGAAGACAAGGAAAAGAAGTTGAGTCTCCTGTGCACTTCACATTCAGGATTTTGATTACTTATATATGGTGATATTATAACACTGCCTTTAATTAAGGTGGTGTTGTGACCTCTGACCTCTGTGTTTAGTATCCCATCTCCATCTGCATCATCATCACATGCATCACCGATTCTATCCTTGTCTGCGTCCTCTTGGCCAGAGTTTGGAACGGTGAGGCAGTTGTCCTAGAAAACCGTTTTATTGAGATCTCACCACTGAGAGAATGTTTTAGTACTTTTTCATTTTTAATACTTGTTTTTATGTTTTACCTTTGCACAGTTTCTTTCCAAACATTTCAGTTTTTCATCAGGGAAGCCATCAATATCAGTGTCCGTTCCACATAAGTATCCATTCCCAGCCCATCCAACTCCACACTAAAACAGATTATATCAGTTTGACCACGTAGATCATGTGTTTCATGTGTGAAATACTGTATGATCATTGACTTACTGCGCATTCAATCTGTCCATCACGGTGAACAATGCATTCTGCACTGGCATGGCAAGGATTGGGCTGACCATTACCACAGGCCCGCTCAGGTTTGCAGTCTTTCACCTGATCCCCAACAAAACCAGTCTTGCAGTGGCCACAGCGAAAAGAGCCCTGCCATGGACACACATAAACAAGGAGAATGCAAAGAATGATGTTCCAACTGACTGATATGAATCCATTTCTCAAATGTTGTAGACCATTTTATGGTGTGTTGATCCAACATAATATAAAATCTGTAATCAGTATTTCATTCAGTCTTGGTCAGTCTTTTTTTGTTATCTTACACAGTTATGTTCACAGTTTTAAGGATAAGGGCATATAACGCAAGCTGCCCATGTTAGCATCTGCCTAAAGCTGAAGATTTTAAGTTATCTAAATTAACTGGTTTTATACAAGCCAAAATATTCCTTAATATGACCTCATTCAGTTATAAAAGTCATTTTAGGGTAAGGTACTGCTACTACTGGCAGAAGTCCCTTTTTACAGTGTATCAGAACAGAGCCATTTTTTGGTTTGCGAACCAGAACAGATGGTGCTCTGGTTCTGCGACTAACAGAGCATAATGCATCACTCACTGGTGTGTTGATACAGTTGGAGTTCTCCACGCAGCCTCCATTTGAGTTCTCACACTCATTAATGTCTTTGCACACCTGCATATAAGAATTTACATTCAATTTCAAACATTTTATCCATTGATTGCTTGTATTTGAATTAAAAGATTCCCATTTAAAAATGATACCTGTTTATTGGCAGATGCATAGGCAAGTCCCACCCCCTGCACCTGGGGGCCCATGTACCCAGCAGGACAGGGGCCACAGCGAAAACCAGGTGACGTGTTAATGCATCTCACCCCCATGTGACATGGCATTACAGCACACTGTACACAGCAAAGAAACAGTAGAGAACTAAAATCTTAGTCCACAGTCAAATACAGATTTCTGGCATGAAACTCTAGATGGCGCAGTTCGATAGGTCTAACTCAATCTGACCTAATGACATCATTATCACATGGCACAGCTGATTGGTAATACATGCGGTTCACATGGTTATTTCATGTATGTTATATTTGCAGCAGCAATATTTCTTACATGCTCACAGCAGCATGTTGTGGATTTATTGGCAGTAGCAAGTCTCGGTACTTGCTCTGTCGCAGCAGCAGCAGCAGCGTAGCAGATCTATTCCGCCAAGACCAAACACATTAACATTGTCATGTACATTACCATGCCAATCCCTCCGAGAGTTGTCATGTCAGAAGTACAAATTATATATCTGGATTACACTTTTTCCATAGTCCACTTTTACAATAAAGTACCTTTGCAACTATCAATTAACGTCAATTAACTCTCACTAGACTCTCATTAGACTATTATCAGACTAACAGTTACATATAGCTTCATATAGTAGAATGTGGATTATCAAACTAAAGTGTTATTGTTGGTGCTGATAGCCTTGTGGGTAGCGCGCCGACATACAGCGCCTATGCGCTATGGGTGTCCCGATTTCAAATCCCAACGGGAGGACCTTTCCCGATCACACCCCCCTCTCTCTCTCCCACATAGCTTCTTGTCAGCTATGATCTGTCTTATCATAATAAAGGAAAAAAATTAATGATTGAAATTAATGAGATTCATGTTTTAAATATAAAACATTGAATACAGAAATATGACATGTTGAAAAAATGCAATTATACTTTACCTATGAAACTAAAACTGGCAGTTGGTGGCACCTAGTCGCTGTCTTAATAAGTGAATCATTGATTGGTTCATTCAAACGATTTGTTCAGTACAGCTGATTCCTTCAGGAATGAAGCAAGTGAATGTTCTTTTTTTAATGGGTCATTGAATCATCGACTCATCTGATTCATTCAAAAAACGCTGAGTCATTTAGAAACTAAACACCACTATGTTGATCAGAGACACAACAGTTCTGCTGTCACTCTGTTTGGAACTATTTTCATTAGCAGAATAAACCAAATAAAACGATCGAAAAAATAAAAAAGTCAATATTGTGTCTAAAATGTACTTCACTTAAAGGTGACATATCATGAAAATCTGACTTTTCCAGGTTTTAAGTGCTATAATCAGGTCCCTGGTGCATCTACCAACCAAGGAAACGTGAAAAAGATTAACCCAATCACTTTGTTTAGGTAAGCCTTTTTCTGCAAGCGTCTGAGAAAACGAGCGCGTCTGATTTCGCTCCCTTGGTGACGTGGCAAAGGGATCTCATTATAATATTACCACCCCTTAATCTGTAAACTTCCACTCAAGACACCGTCATTTTGATTTCGCAAGCGACAACAGTGTACCAGCTTTAATGCCATGGCGAAAGTTTGACTGTTGTGAGAAAGTTGTCACAGCTTGTTTCTGCTTCCACTCAAAATAGGCATTTTCAAAATTATATAATAAATTATCTGTGGAGTATTTTGAGCTGAAACTTCTCAGACACATTCTGGGGACACCAGAGACTTATATTACATATTGTAAAAAGGGGCATAATATGTCACCTTTAATATTAACTTAAACATAGCTTATTTCTAATTGATTTATTTATTATTATATACCATTGGATAAAATATAAAATAGTGATCATCTTAAAAGGGGGACTTTTCCACTTGATTCCACTTTTCAGGATTGTTCCACCATATTTGCGCATTGCACTTTCTCCCATTCATGGTAATAGGATAAGCAGGGCATAGGGTTGCTCACTTCTGACTGGAATTCACCCTAATTCATCTCAGACAGCCCACTCACCTCATCAACATCTGTACAGTGAGTTCCATTTCCTGTCATGCCCTCTGGACACGGACCACACTTCACACCGCTGGGAGTCATTATGCATTCCACACCAACATGGCAGGGGTCGGGAACACATGACGGCTCTATAGGATCTACTGGTCTCATGCCTAGCAAGACATGAGAGAAAAAATATGCAACTTTTAGCAGATACACTCTCAGTTATGAATCTAATGCAATCATAAGCTTAGAATTCCTCACCACAGGCTTCACACTCCATAACTGTGTTCTTCAGGAAAACAACTTCCTGTATCTATAAAGCAAAGAGTTCAGTATTATGTAAAAATGTATAAGAACTAAAATGTGCTTTAGGTCTTTAACAGGCTGGAATGTTATGAAAATATTTTTATGTGTGAGTGAATAGCAGAAGTTTTATACAAAATCATTTTACCCGAGAACATGCAATGGCATCCTCTTCCATATTTTTCAGTATTTTAGATGATTTACCTGTTGTTTCAGCAGTTCTTTGATTTCAGCAAGCTCCTGGTTTGTGCCTTTAATCTGTTTGATAATCTCTCCATCTGTAGTAACAATGTAGAATCAGAAAGATGATTTATAGCAACATGCTGAGTTCCCCTTACCTTTTACTTCAAGTCAAGAATTTCAGCAATAATGTATTCAGATTCGTTCTAGCTATCTAATGGCTTAGAATACAGCATGAAGCACTTTTATGATACTTTTACAGTTATTGTTATTTTTGGAACACCTCAGACAATCTGCTAAATATCTTTCACAGTCATACAGATTTGGAATGACACAAGAGTGAAAAACCTAAGAGTGAATATTCATTTTTGGGAGAACTTTCCCTTTAAGACTGTATGAACTGGAAACTACATACAAACAACAGGACGGTTTCATGATTAATGCATATAAAGCTAAGCTCAAAATATAATGACTTTTCCTGCCGGCCCTGTGGATAATTTGTCAGCATCTGACATTATATCAGTCAGGAAATGTATGAGTAATTTGCCAAGAACTCACTCACTTCGATTGTTTATGCGGTGTGTTTGTGAATAGCAAAGCCCAGTCCAAGTCTGTTGCCTTGGCAAGGGCTAATGTTGGATCCTGTTTTCTGTGTTTAGGCATGACCATAACATGTAATCCAAATAGCATGCTTCATTTTGATTAATCTCATGGGTTCATGAACATGTTGTTATGACAGCAGATAAACTGTTGCAGTTGTGATTAATGAAGCTGGTTTATGAGCCACAGGAGTAGCAACACTAGAATTATCAAATCAACCTGAGTGCATTTCTTTCTTAGCTCTAGTGCTGCGGTTAGGGTCCCAGTAAGGCTCAGGTTTCGCTTTTCCCCACTAATGATTGTGGTCAAATTAATTAAAAAAATAAAAAATCCAAGTTTTAAATGTAACAGGAGGGGCTTCTGTCAGAGGTTCCCCTCCCCAGAGGGCAGTCCAGACAAACAGAAGGGAAGTGTGCTCTTTCCATTAGCGGCATCAGTGTTTTCCATATGCATTCCAGGCTTCCATAAGCTCAGTTTATCAGTTATTCATCTTGCCTGGTGGGCCACTTAAAATGTTGGTCTTTATACTGCAACTGCATAGAACGTAAATGTTCTCTTCAGCAGTGTTGTTACGGGTTTTAAAACATACCAAAATCTGCCCACATGACAGGTTCTCATCTTACACGTCAACCAGCATCTGTTAAAAGATTCTTAGCTTAAACCTTTTTAAGAGCTTTGTAAACAATTATTTGAATACAAATAAAGTTGTTCATTTAGGAAACATGGACATTATATATAATCTAGAAAAATATAAATATGAATATTCTCTCTGGAACAATCTTGCAGTGCACTTTAGAGAGTTAGACCAATAATAATCTGTTTGAGTGTATATTGTATCCTTTCTGTAAAGCACTTTCTTTGAAGATGTTAATAAACTTAATAAACAAAAGTCCTTCGTTATAAACATATTTTTAAAGTCCTGGATATGTCCAAGATATAACAAAAGCAGGCATTTTATGGTCAAGTAATAGAAGTTCATTGTGCAAGGAGTGTGCAAACCTTAAATATATATGAATGTCACAGTAAGTGAATGCAAACGTGCAGAAGTCAACTCACCTCTGGATACTCCTTGAGCAGAAACCAGAGCACCGTGCAGATACAAGCTGCAGCTGAACAGGAGAGTCCACAGCATGCTGAGTGAGGGGAGGAGGACGACAGAGCTGAGCTTCTGAGCGTGTCTGTGTCTCTAATGCTTTTATACCACGTCACTGACGTCATCTGCAGTCTGGCTCTTCACAGATCACACCTTTCACAAGGTTCACGTGTAACAGTCTTGAATTGTAATCACACACACACACACAGAATACAACAGACACACAAACACACATGTAATCAATGTAAGTAAATAGAGCCAAACATTAAACACTGTTTCATAAGTATAGCCAGAAGGGCTTTCTGCATTTGAACAACATAACACATAAAACCCTAAAATGACCATTAAAAAGACAAGAACAACATTACAACTCCACTTTGAAAACAGGGGAAGAAATATGATTTTATAAAATGTTATAAAAGTGCCTAAAAATAGTATTACTATTTTACACATTTTAGAATAATAGTGGAGCATTACATTTGGGCTTCTTCAAAGTAGCAGCTTTTTGTGTAGATTCCAGCTCTGCACAGTCCAGTCATTGTCTCAGCCGGCTTCATGAGGTGCATCCTGGGATGCTTTTTAAACAACACTGGAGTTTCCATGCATGCTGAACACTTTTTGGCTGCTTGTCCTTCACTATTCAGCCCATTTGTAAAAAAAAAAATTCCTATGTGAGCACAATGTATATTTGTCTGCAAAACAGATTTAAAGCATAATCCTACAGGTCGCAGGAAACAAATTCAGTCCACACTTTTGGCTGCTAGTGTATTAGTTTGATTACTGTATCCAGTAGGCCTAATAAAATATTACGTTTTTTATTATAGAACAGTTTTAGTGTTGCCAAAAAAGATTTTGCTTTGTTTATTCCCCCATTAAAAATAAATCACAGCACTATATAATGTTTGATCTTGCATGGCCAATTATAAAAAATAAACTATTTTAAAAAAAGCTTCTTTATTCTACTCTATTTGAATTCAGTCCAGAACTCTTACATCATAGATGTTCTCTGCACTTTTGGGTTGGTGCGTTCAATGCAGCAAGTCTTGTTTGCTGATAATTGCATCCACAGACGCGGGTTGAATTCCAGCTTGCAGACCCCAGAGCTACATGTGGCGCACCTTGAGGTCTTGTGCTGTTCTGCTGAACTCGCCTCTCTCACCATGAGCTCTTCTGGAAAAACAAACACAGAAGTCTCAGTCTGGTGGTTTTCAGCATTTTTGGGAATGACACTGGGAAGAAAACTAAACAGCTAAACATTTTCCTCAGAAGGTCTTTTGTTTTTGAATCTTTCCATTTACAGGAAAATGCACGTTGATGTTCTGAGAATTAAATGGATTCGCTGGGTTTTATTGAAATTTATTTTTCACGCAAGGGTGTCCATTTAAAATGCATCTTTTTATCTAAAAACCTCATGCACAGGAATGAAGTGGTCATCGTTCCTGGGTCATGAGCTCTTCTATTCTGGGGTCGAGGTGAAAGGTCAGCAATGGCTCAAAGGCAAGCAAACAAATGTGTGCTCACAAATCATCAGTCTTCATTTACAGAGATCACTAATTACTTTAAAAGATGTTCCACGTGAAATCTAATTGGCTTAAAAATTAGCATTGACAGATCTTCTTTTGATACTTCAAGGACATATCAAACACAAACCAGTGTCATCTTATTTTTTTAAATAGCTGCTTGGTAAAAAAATAAAAATAAATAAAATTGAACAGATTCAACGCACATGGCCTTACATTTAACACATCACATTGAGGCAAGTGTCAACTATACTGTATAGTGAAGAAGGCAGATTACAACTGAAAAGTTGAACTCAGTTGGTTTATGATGGTAAATTTAAGACTTTTTAAAGACCTTTTTAAGACCAAGTAAAGTTTTTTAAGCCTAAATGTAGCTAGTCTACTGGCAGAATCCCATTGTAAAGACATACTGTATATTGTCATAACATGCCTCAATAGCTCCAATACTGCATAATATGAACACTTTTGTTAGGTAGAACAAAGTAGGTGTTACTATCTGAATTTACTGCATAATGCACAATTATTTTAGATATTATAATAATTATTGGCCATACAATTATTTAACATGCATTTATACCTCAGATCTTCTTTTGATACTATGTTGCAAATATGTTGGTCACTATATTAAAAAATATGTTATTAATCTCATCTCTGAAAACACACAAAAAGAAGAAAATTTTTATCTGATAAAAATCGTTTACCTGCGATTTATGTGACGTTCGTTAATTGTTTTTCTTAAATTCCTGAGAACAAATGAACGCTATAACTTCGGTGTACATCTGCCCGAATAAACCAACTCAAATGTCAAGTTTGAGAAGTGGTATTAACATTTAGTGGTATGATATTTGATTTTGGTTTATTTTACGTAAAAGCGATGTGAATAAACTGTCCAAAATAATACAGCAACGGAAAATCGCGTTTGTTTGTTTTGTGCTATTTTATGTTTTTGCAGCGGTTGCTGGAATTGTAAGAGCAAACGATCAAAATGTGGGTTCTCGAATTACTTTTATTAAACTATACCTTTATTAAACAATAACGCTATCACACTGCATGTTTTTAACACCTGCCAAGCAGAGCCAAAACGTCCTTAGGCTACTGTAGGCTATCAAAGGATGTTTAATAAACTCCAGTAATATCCTTTCAAATCAATGAAACTATATTCGTATAAACTGACTCGCTGTGAATGGCACAGGATGTTGTCTTGTAAATTAAGATACAAGATTCGGTCAGTTTGTATTTGCATGAGCGCAGACGCAGAAGATTAATATATTTTTACAAGTAATTTAGATTACTCTCCTGGGCTGCCTGTGGCAATCATATAAACATAAGCTGTTGAAATTTTTAAAACAAAACAAAAAGAGTTCTATTGCGAATCAAATCATCCGCGGCGCTGCTGCGTGAATTCTTTCTAACTGTGACGTCACTGCACTGGTGACTTATAGAACGTGTGGCCTGCCTTGATCACAAAAACCTCATTTTGACTCGTTGCTTCAGTATACACGCTTTAGTGTCGTTATACGATTTTTGCTTCAGTCAGCTTTTGATCAGTGTGCGGTTTTGAAACGGCGTACAATTTTGAATTAAGCATTGATTCCACATCAGTGTCTGATTGTGAATCTGCATTATCATTCAGTGTACGATCATTGTTCAGTGCAGTTTTAAATCATATCTCGACAAGCACAAAACAGTAGTAGAGTTTTCTGATCTGTGTAATATTTCAGATCATACAGTTTTACTTTTCAGATTGTTGCAGTCTACCCTTTTAGATCTGAAAATGTACTGTAACAAATTTCGCACGCTCATGCACCAAACATGTGTCAGCGCTCACCAGAACATCATTACTGTGAGCGAAAACACCACAATCTCCAGCCAAATGCAGGCTGTCAAGCTTCCGACCATCCATAGTCCTTCACTTGCCAGAGGTGAGCTGCTCAAACAGTCAGAAACCGGTTTGCTACATTTGAATTCAAAACATAGGCCTATGGCATGAGTATGAAGTAAACACAAGTTCCTTCATGAGAGCCATACTAACATGACATAAATGTGATGTTATGCAGAATTGCATCCACACCCACCGCCTCAGAAGAAGGTGAATGGATCCAGTCTCAGTGCTGAAGAACAATTTCTGATCTTTGGGCTCCGATGCAGGGAGGACAAAACAGGGGAAGAAGTCAGGTTGTTCATTAGAGAGGGACAACAGGAACGCCCCGCCTCAGGAACGCGACCAACAGGGGCCCGAAACGAAACCTGTCTTCCGCCGCTCAGCGTGCGGAGGGCAGTGTTTCAACCCATCTCAGCATACAAAGCTGAGGTTTTACAAAGTGGTCGCTGTAAAGTAAGCCAATTTTGTATCTTTTTCTTATTCCAGTTCAAATTATGTATGTAATATGAAATACCCACTACTCTTGGAAATTGTGTGGGTGGGGTTTTTCATCTGTGTGGCATCTGTACTCTTCTAATTTCTTTCTCTGTTCCATTCTCAGCTTGATACAATACATAAAATGGAGATCCTGCATACTTGGGCCCAACGCGCTTCTATGGAGGACAGAGAAATGTCCCAAATAGAGCTCGGAGCAAAACAAGACTGGGCCAATTATGAAGCCTCTTTCCGTGACTCGAATCCTTTGAAGAACGAGCAAAAGTAATTATTTCTACATCACTGTTAAATCTTGAAGCCATGCTTTTGTGGTCATCGTAAATAACGCAGTTTCAATTTATAAACTTCTGATTGCCAGGTGTTTATTATCATGTTGTCATGTTTCAGGGCTCAGGATTCATTTTCGAAGAGGCTAAAATTAGAAGAAAAGGAAAAAGCTCTTCTAAGGTAAGCACTGTCACGTCAGTATGCACAATTATAGCGTTTCCATTCCTGCTCATCCCAACAGTGAAGATGCTGCTTCGGATCCTATTATTCATAACCATCTCTGTTACAGAAAAATCTATCGTGTTCAAGACACGATTGAAATTGAAGAGATGCATTTGAAGGAAGACCGTGAGCGTGAAGAGCGTGAGGAAGAGGGCAACAAACAAAGCTCAGAGGACCTTGAAAAATTAACGTGGGAGTATGTGAATTTCATGTCCCTAAATGAGGAAAACAACGAGGTACTCAAGTACTACGAGGATGAAAAGGAAAAGCTGTACGTTTCTTGTACCCAACCATGGGATTGATTTCTTAATAGTCTCTAATCTGAGGAAACCGAAGACACAGAAACAGCGTTTGACGCTCTGAGTTTTGTCTTGTGTGGTTTTCTTCAGTAAAAAGAATGCAGACCGCATGGAGGAGGAGATACAGAGCATGGCTCTCTGCATTGAAGAAGAGCAGGAGAAAAAAAACAAAGTCAAAGCAGAAGTGGAGATGATAAATAATGTCAAGGACTCAAGGAGAATGAAAGTAAGTGCACAACGTGTCCTGTTTAAAGCGGCCCCACCCTCGCAAGCATCTGAATGTAATAAGAGACTGTGCAGTTGATCTCGGTCACATTTGATCTCATCGTTTTGTTTCTGTCTCACCAGATATGGACAAAGACCGAACAGTTGTGTGAGGAGCTTGCGAAGGTCCAAGCGAGCTATGGGGAGCAGGCCAACAGCCCTGCGTATCCATTGATGATACTGCTCCAGTTGGAGGACTGGATTTCTGACTCTCTGGATTTGATCGAAAACATGCCCGCTGAGAGGCTCTGCAAAATACAAAAGCGGATTTGCAAACATTATGAAATCAGGTAAGGTATAGAAATACATAGCTGACTTGATGATCATCAGCGGTTATAGCTTTCTTAAAACTGCAGAAATTGAGTGGTTCTTTAAAACCTCTTGCCTGCTTTCTCTCTTTCACAGGGAGCAGGAACAGAAACGCATTAGGCGTGAAGCGTTATTAGAAGAACGGAGGCAGAGAAGACAGGAGAGAGCACTTTCTCATTCAGTGAAACTGGTGAGTGGCGCACAGAACCAGCAATACATATCCAATACTTTTGTCTTGCTTATCAAATATTGTAATGTGGATCAATAGTGTGATGCTAAGTTATCACGTCTTTATTGCAGACCGGAAAAAAGCTGATGCCACGTAGCCAGCCTCCGAAGAAGATAAGAAAGAGAGAGGAACCAATGGAAACCAAGAAGACGAAGGAGGATTTATATGCTCACTTTGTGGAATAATTCGCCTCCGAGCTCCTTCACGGCCTTCTCCAGTGCCCTGTCATCCTCCACAGAAAAGAAAAACCTCCAGTACCCACTGTGCAAACAAAAAAAACAATAACCCTTAGACAACTTAGATATAGGAAGATAATTGATAGTAGATAGACATCTTAGATTTTGGTAAGATATTAGTGAATAATTGATAGTAGTTGTGGATAGACATCTTAGATATTAGTAAGATATTAGTAGATATTAGCAGATAATTGATAGTAGTAGTAGATAGACATCTTAGATATTGGTAAGATATTAGATAACTGATAGTAGTAGTGGATAGACATCTTAGATATCGGTAAGATAAAATAATAATAAAAAAATAATAAAAGCATTTGTGTAGTAATTTCTTTCAATGTGTATTAAAACCACACACATCTAAGACATTCTTTAAAAAAAATCACATGGCACATAATCTATAAGTTATAACATTTTCTTACACCTTGAATACATGTCAGTGTATCATTATTAATAACATTTTTGAATTTATTCTTCAAGGTTAAAAATATTAATTCATTTTTAAGAATCATAACATCAATTAGTGTGATATTTGCTTAATGTGCGTATGTTGCAATAAAGAAATGATATAATGATCAGGTTCAAGTCAAAACACCTTTATTATTATAGTGCTTTATACACTAGAGATTGTTTCAAATCAATGATGCAAACTTAAAAAATGAGGCAAATCCAAAAGCTGCTGTATGGAGATTAAAAGGTTGATCTTAATTGAGATTAACATTTTTGTTATAATATTTTTTTTAGGAAGGAAGGATACTTTGAAACACTAGTCAGCCTGAAAGTTATGGAAGGCAAGACACTCCAGGTGAACAGGTTAAAAATGAACAGACCTAACTTCCCCAGCTGACTGATCGCATCAAGAATCGCAAAACTTATTTTGTATTACATTACATTTGTGTTTAAAATTTTCTGATTTAAAATAAAATGTTTAAATATGCAAATGTTATACTTAAAAATGGCTTTATCTAGCTAATTAAACTAATTTGCATATATTTGTAGAACAAAAATCTGAACATCGGATTAAGCCAAATTCAAAATTCTTGTTTCATTTGTTTGACATATTTTGTTGTCATTCATTTGTTTGGCAATAAACCCACAGTCCCACAGAGAAATTTCTCCTTTTGTAAGTGACTTTTCTTTCTGTTTTAAAGATGCTTTCTTTTAATTGTTTGAGTACTCAAACGAGAATATAAGAAAATATAACAATTAATTTGTGTTTCCTGCTAGCTAAATTTCACATACAAAAAAAAAATCTGGCTCTAAACCTCTTTTGTCTATTCACCCAGCAGGCACACAACGTCATAAGATGTTGATATTTGGTTAAATTTGGGTTGCGACGTCGGGTGACCAAAATTCAATGTAAATTCAACATCTAATGTCAATGTTAAATTGATGTCCAATACCGATGTCAGCTGACGTTGATATTTTGTTGTTTTTAGGTTGTGTAACCAAAATCCAATGATAAGTCAACGTCAAATTGACATCAACCCGATTTTCATTTTCAGCCAAAATGCAACGTCTGTCTGACGTCATGTCCAACGTCAACCTGACGTTACATAGACGTCAGGTGCCTGCTGGGCAGAGTTTATTTAGACAAGTACATGGAAACCACAAATTAACCATTCTACACCAATCATAGTTTAACCATTGTTTTTGTACAATACAAACTTTCTTTTTGTTTTGTTTTTATAACTGTACTACCTTTGATGTTTTCTACTGTTTAGCGAATAAAAAAGAAATAAAAAAAGATTTGCGAATGGTCTGAAGCCCCGATCTGAATCAAATGATTCGTGAACCCGCACCAAAGTCACAATCTGAATCAAATGGTTTGCACTCCGCACTCCGAAGTCCTGATCTGAATAATGATTCGTGAAGTGTGGATCGTGAATCATTCAATCATGATCATTCAATTCAGATCTAAATCAAATGATTCCCGATGCTCCAAAGTACTGATCAGAATCAAATGATTCGGGATCCGCGCTCTGAAGTTCCGATCTGAATCAAAAGATTTGCGATACGGGCTCCGAAGTCCCACTGTGTTCCATTTGGAAGGGCTTATCCTAATCCTTTCAAAGCTGAGTCCTTCCGATTGGAACACATGGTGTGACACCAAACAACTTCCTTGTGCAAAGGATCATGGGGGCCCGAAGTGCCATCAGTTGTACCCTTCGAAATCCTTCATTCCGAAGAGCCCTTTGAAGTGGCCAGTTTGAGCACTTCAGTTTGGAACGACCCTTCAATATGATTGATTGTTGATTGTTTTCAACATGATTGTTTTCACTCTGAAGTGTCCATCGGAGGGCGACATTTGGAACGCACCACATATTTGAAGTAATTGATTAGAGATCCGTGCTCCGAAGTTCCGATCTGAATTAAATGATTTGCGATCCACGCTCCGAAGTTTCAATCCAAATCAAAAGATTTGCTATCTGTGCTCCGAACTCCCAATCTCCGATCTAAATCAAATGATTCGCGATGCTTCGAATGACCAATCCGGGATCCACGCTCTGAAGTCCCGATCTGAATCAAATGATTCGCGCTCCGCACTCCGAAGTTCCGATCTGAATCAAACGATTCGCGATCCGTGCTCTGTAGTTCCAATCTGAATCAATTAATTTGCAATCCGATTGGAGCTCTTCAAAACAGTGAATCATTTGCGGCACAATGGTAACTGATTCTGAGTTTTGAAAAGCTCCATTTCACCCATCACTACATGTGCTTTTTAAAATCACTACAAGCAATGTCAAAATTCGAAAATGAACAAAGTTGGGTATAACGCATTACACAGTAAACTGTTACTGTATTCGAATTACTTTTCCCGATAATGCAATGCGTTACATTTTAAATTTATGTCGCCTAATTTGATTACAGTTACTAATGTCAATAAAATTAAGTTACAAATGCAGTGTTAAAAAATATGAAGTGAAAATCATATTTTGCTCGTCAGTATGCCATTTAATAAATCACAAAGAATGCGAGCAAAAATGAGCCCTACAACATTAGATGCAATGAAAGGTTGCCTATCATATTTCAAAATGTTGCACTCGATTTAACATATCACATATTCAAGTTCAACTACTAGTGAATGTGTACAAGTTTATGTCACAATAAGTGAATTGCTTGAACTGAATGATCAAATTCACGAGTTTGAATCAATCGGAGCGGTTCCAGTGTAAATAACTCACTCAGTTAAATCAGTTTGTCTGTTCCTCCTTCAGCCATATTTTGACACTGTCAGTACTACTGGATTAGTGCTAGTTTTGTGGCATTATAAGTGAAAACAAAAAGAAAATATGATGTTTACAAATAAAATGTAAACATTTCCACTCCAAAGATAACATCCAACACATCTACCAACATCAGGTGAGGTAAGCAGTTTTCCTGCTAACTAGTAGCCTAAAACATTCCATTAATACGATGAGCTGCACCTCAAAATATGTGTTAGATTGAAACATTGTACGTAATGATCTAGTTTGTAGCTTAATTCACTATATTTGAAATAGTTTGACCACTGCAGTTCAGCTGGTGACAGTTCAATAGGAAATAAGTTTTTTAAAGATATTTGAGAAAGGATTGTTGTGTCTGATTGTATTAGTCTATATAGAATAGATTGATATCCTATGTAAAAAGCCTGGGTCTCGCTGTATCGCTCAGGCTGTCTATTCACAGGTGCGATCCCACTACTGATCGACACGGGGGCTTTGACCTGCTCCGTCTCCGACCTGGGCCGGTTCACCCCTCCTTAGACGACCTGGTGGTCCCGAGCTCCCCCAGGAGCACCATATCGACACCGAACTTAGTGCGGACACCCGATCGACATAATCCACTGCAGTCCAGAAGAAGCCCTGAGCTCAAGCGATCCGCCAGCCTCAGCCTCCCAGTAGCTTGGATTACAGGTGGCGCCACTGAACCCGGCGAGAGCCGCGAGTATCAGCGCTGCTGCTCAACCTGCTGCTCACAGCGCCCTCTAGTGCAGATAAACAACACTACACTGACATTAGCTGCGGAGCAGAGTCAACTAGTTCCCTTTTGAACGGTCTCTCCCGTTGTGTGAGTCGCTAAGGGGGAAAACTCCTGTTTTACTCTGTTCTGAAGCCTGATTTGTTCCCATTTATGTAGCTGTACAAACCAATGGTGCTTTAGCCCACTAGAAAGGGCGGAGCCGACCCCTATATAAGTCGGCTCAGAGCGCCATTCATCAGATCATTCTCCTTCAGCGACGAGGATCATCTCTTTGCTGACTCTGGAAGAAGCCAAGAAGAATCCGAGGAAGAAGAAGCTCCAGCTCTGCTCGGCGCTCCTGCAGCGAGGATTCCCCGTGGCCATCCGGCTCTTGAAGAGCAAGACTGAGAGCAAATTTCAGCGCGCGTTGTTGCAAATGTCGCGCCACGAGTGTGGCTCATGCAAGGATCCCTTGCATGAGATGGACGGGCACAGTGAGTGCGTCGCCTGTTTTGGCAGCGCCCATGCAGAGGCTGTGCTCACTGATGGCTCATGCTCCCATTGCGAGAGTATGAGTCTTTCCCGTCTCCGCTCGCGGATCACCTTTTTTCAGGAAGGCGGTCCCCCTCGCTCAGTTCTCACGTTTCCTTTCTCTCCTAAGAGAAAACGGAGCAGCGGGTCCTTCTCAGCGGGTTCGAGCGGTGTCACGTCGGCTCAGCGCCCCCGTGCCACTTAGAGCGCCTCGGGTTGATCATCAACCCGCACAAGAGTCAGCTGTTTCCCAGACAGCGAGCTGTCTTTTTGGTCAGCCCCGGAGCAATGCCTGCATATCAACTGCCTAGAAATGTTGGCGGTTTTCTTATCCCTGAATACCTTCCTTCCAGCCTTAAAAGGGCACCACGTCTTGGTCCGGTCGGATAGCATGACGGTCTCAGGTCACACACTCTTTACTGGATGGCTCGTAGCCTCCTTTTTTGGGCACAGAAAGAACTCCTCTCGTTAAGGGCGGTTCTTGTGCCAGGCAGATTGAACCTTGGCGCAGACATGCTGTCCAGAGGCAAGGTAGCCCCGGGCGAATGGGCGCTACACCCTCAAACGGTTCAAATCGTTCAGATCTGGTCAGTCTTCGAGAGGGCAGAGGTCGACCTCTTTGCCTCACTGCCCAACATTTCCCAGAGCTAGTGCAGCTCTCAGCAGCAGCCCCGTGGCCCATTCCGCTGAGGAGGAACCTTCTCTCGCAAGCGAAAGGCATGATTTGGCATTACCAGCCGGAGCTGTGGAGCCTTCATGTATGGTGCCTCGACGGGAGCTTAATCAGCAACCTGTTCTCATTTATTTATTTGGCTATTATTTAATTCAGTGTATCTTATCTGATAATAAAGAAATCATTTGCTACCTTTGGATTTTCTACAGGCTTGATTATTAGGCTAAATGTTTTATGTATTTGTAAATGAAGTGCCACCTACAATCCCTGCCGGTATGAGACTCGAACCCACAACCTTTGGGTTATGAGTCTGACTCTCTAACCATTAGGTCACGACTTCCCCCTTATTTGCTTCTCTTCAGTCCATAGACTTTCAGCAGAGACCCCATAGCATGCTGTGACTTTTCTGAGACATTTCTGAGAATGAATGGGGGAAAGACACGTGAGAGGAGGCAATGCCTCCATCGCTCTATAATTGGATATGATCGGTTATGATTGAATGTGATTGGTTCGTGCGATAAATCCTGCCTCTTGTTTTGTGCGAGCTCTCGGCCTGAATCAAGAAAATTATGGCGTTATTGACTAATTATAAAGTAAGTAAACAACTCTCCCGCTTAGATACCACTACTTTGTGTCACGTCAAAATAAAACTAGAAATGGTCTGAAAACGTGATGACTGCGTCGGTTTTTAGTGAGCATTCAGTGTGATGAAATGAAAGATATATCTTCGTGTCTGTGGCAGTGTTTACAGAGCTTTTATGATGATGACTCGAAAATAAGTTGACTATTAAAAAGAACAGCTGAACATCAGTTCACAAATAAACAAATATTGGTAATGTTTTACAATAAGGTGTCATATAATGAGTTAACTAATATGAACAAACAATGAACATTTATTACAGTATTTATTAATCTTTGTTTACATTAGTTAATACAAATACAGTTGTTCATTGTTAGTTCA